CCCTAGTCTGAAGAGCCTCGTAGCACCGCATAGCAACGGAAAGTTGCCCCTAGCCTGAGTGGCACTGCACCGGAGATTCCAATGAATGCTGATGAACAAAGATGGCTGAGATGATCAAATGGACAAAGTTGATCGGGGAAGTGTTATGGTGCAAGTTTGGGAAATATAAATCAAGATGCTCACCCTTGAAGAACCTTTGAAGAACAAATGGTCTAGCCTCCTTCTTTGGATCAAAACCAAATGCATATAAACAATTATTATACACATTATCAATCATTACATAAAGTTAATGTATTCTTTCAACCGCCATACTCAATGACACATTACAGTGATTAGTTTTAGTTTGTCTAATCATCATGCATTGTCTACAACAATTAAGACTATCCTCCACCGATAGCCCAAAGCAGTTATTTCTATACAGAATATAAACGTAACAAATGGATATATAATCAACATCCCAACTAGGTGAGCGATAGGCAATCCAACTACACCCTTTAATCTCATACATTCCCAATCTCAACATTTATTCCATTTCTCTATGCCAAACATGCATCTAGGTTTATTATAATTAAACCCCCAACTTTTGTAAAATTACATAAAGGCCCAAAGTTTTCTCAAAATTACACAACAACTCCCGACATATCAAAATGCTAAAATTTAAAGACAAAGCTCATAAAGAGGAGTAGGGTATCCCTACCTCAAATTTAGAAGGGAAAGAAGGAAGAAAAACCCAAGAGTTGATGGAAGAGAAACCAAGCTTTGCTTTCGATCAAAATGAAGCCCTCGACAAGCTCTACACTTTGTCTCAAAGGAGCAAAGTGAGTAGAGGTCTTCAACCAAGTAGATCTAAGGATCTTTGAGTAACAAGTGCTATTTGAGAGAGAGAGAAGGTGTTTCACGGTTTGGAGAGAGGAAAGGGAAGAAAAAGTGAGAGAAAAGGTCAAGTGAGGGCCTTTATATAGTACTAGGTCAAACATAGATATAAGCCCCAAAGTCAACTCAAAATATTTAGTCAAAATATCCCCAAAAAGTAGGTCCAAACCGTGAGAAAAAAACTGGGAAAAAGTCGCAGGTGTCGACCCTTCGCAACACAGGTGTCGACACCTAAGAAGAAATCTGGAACACTAAGTGTGACTGCACTGCAGGTGTCAACCCTTCCCTAGGCTGGTGTCGACACCATAATGCAATGGGCAATTTCAGAACAAGGGTCGACCCTTCCACAGATTGGTGTCGACCCTTGCGGCCAACCAAAAAAGAAGGTGTCGACACCACCGAGGCTGGTGTCGACACCAAAATGCAGTAAACAAATTCAAAACAAGGGTCGACCCTACCCAGCTCTGGTGTCGACCCTTATGGCAAACAAAAGAGAAGGTGTCGACACCACTAAGACCGGTGTCGACCCCAGAACATGGTGTTCAAGTTTCCAAACAACTTTTCAACACGAGCGAGCGTGAACGAGCAATCCCAACAAGTTTAAATCAATTTGTACACCTCCAAAACTGAGGTACGACAACACCAAAGATTCCCAAAATAAGATAAAGGGTTCAAATACATTTACCAAAAGCTTTAAAGGGCTCAAGTGCTACACTAGACTCAGAGTCACCACCTAATCTTTGGAAAAAATTAGAAAACCCATGACTCGTGCCAGAGGCCATTGTACATCGTAACGAAAGTGTCACAGTTGGGGAACTTAGGTATAAGGGGAGAAGGTCATAAATTGAGCACCACCGCTCACCCGATCAAAGATCGACCCCTTCTAATTATAGATATGAGACTCATTACCATAATATGCTCATGTTCTAGTTATTGATGCAAAAATTATTATGTGAAGTAAACAAATATAGACTAAATCACTTACTTTGGAATTCTTTTATTTCATGCATTTTAAAAAAGAGGTTGAAAAACTGCAACTCAAAGAAAAGATGAGTTTACATTCATGGAAATAATAGCATCCCAACTTAAGAGAAATAAGCTCTATCCGCTGGCATCCAAAGAAATATATAAAGTAAGCAAGTAGCCGCGTGGTAAGAATGCTAGACATAGTAAAAAAAACACACACAATCGGGATGCAAAAATAAAAGAAGCTCACTTAGTTCTCCTCAGCACCAAGTCAAGCAAAAAGCGTTAGAAAAATATGCATGATCTTATATGCAAAAAAAACTAATGCAATACACACAATATATATATATATATATATTCAACTAAAGACTTTGCTACTAACCATATGATATATGAACCATCTCAAGGCATGGGGTAGCGCATATAATCGCAGAAGAAGTAAAGAAATGAGAGATAAATTGAGCCAAGCCTTATGCATGAAATATATGCAAAACATGGACTATGATAAGGAAAACATGATGTCAAGATAGGGAAAATGCTAAATAAAAGGGATAGAGAAGAAAGAGATAAGAGAGACATGCATCAAAGCTATAAAAAAAGATAAACTGAATCAAATTTTAATTAAACTTCTCATTAAACTCTAAAAATTATGTCGATCTCAACAAACCAACCAATTTTGATTTTTGATGCCATTAAAACCTTCAATTTTTAGATCATAACAAAAATCATAACAGATTTATCTACGATCAACAAATAGGAAGTCAAAACCATATTATTCACATAATTAACATATTCAAATTCACACCAAGCACATAAACACATGCATAATTAAGGAATCAAAAACATAATACGTGATGTGGTTGTCACAACTAGACACTAAAATGACATAAAATTGGCTCAACATTTATCTCAATTTGGCCATGACCTAATTATTAGAAAATTGTCTTAGTCGAACCACTTAACTCATTTGTTTATTAAATATTGGTGAATAAATATATGTTAGTATTTTTTTTTAATAAAATAAGATATATGTACATGTTTATGCATACTTATTAAAAAAAAAAAATCAAACTTTGATAAAATTTGATATTTATATTTAAAATTATTACATGAATAGTTAAGTATATTTATGCGTGAAAAAACTATCCAAGGTCAATCTAAAATATGGGCATTGTTCTAACCATACTTTGGACTTGATTTAAAATTTTGATCGGTCAATTAATAGAAATAATTGGCAATAATCAATTTAAAATTATATGTTTAAATTACATTATAATTCTCAAGTTTTGAATGGTATAAATTAATTTAAGGGATAATACTTGCATTAAATATTAAAAGTAGTTTAGAAGTGAGGTTAAGATCGATTTTTATGCCAACAATTATATTCTTGGAGACTTATTTTCATTCATACCCAATTCAAGATCACTTAACGCACATTTTTTTTTAAAAAAAATTGTAAATATATTATGATTATTTTTTATAACCAAAATAAGAAAATAAAATTGGCTCAACATTTATCTCAATTTGGCCATGACCTAATTATTAGAAAATTGTCTTAGTCGAACCACTTAACTCATTTGTTTATTAAATATTGATGAATAAATATATGTTAGTATTTTTTTTAATAAAATAAGATATATGTACGTGTTTATGCATACTTATTAAAAAAAAAATTCAAACTTTGATAAAATTTGATATTTATATTTAAAATTATTACATGATAGGTCAATTAGTTAAAATTAACTATTCATGTAATAATTTGTTAAGTTTTGTAGGGGCTCAAGACGTCCACTTTCTAAAAAAAAAAAAAAACTTCTGTTTAATAATTTGTTAAGTTATGATGGGTATGAGCCAATATTAGATCAAATATTAAAAGTAGTTTAGAAACTAGATTTGGTTAATTTTTATACTATATATCAATCCAATTTTTAGATAATCGTTTTAGTTTATACCCAATCATCACATTGCCCAGTTATTTATTTTTTAAATGGTAAAAACATTGTAAAATTTTTTATATCCAAAATAAATAAATAAAATATGAATATTTGGCATATTTATTAATATTCTAAAACTTCAATTAAGAAATTATATATTTATTTTAAAGATATGCCTAATATTAAATTATATTACATCCGAAATAATTATTTAAGATCAGATTAAGTTATATCTATTACTTTAATCAATTAGCAAAAACTACATATAAAATATCTACTTTAGAGCTCTCACATATAAAACATACAAAAACTACATATAAAACTTCAATAAATCCACAAATTTATTCTAAGGTTTTAGAGCTCTCACAATATTCTTCACAAAAATCTACTTTTACTTATAAAATATATAGATAGATAGATCTTTTGCATCTAAATTTGAAACATAATTTATATTTTTTAAATTTATATTTTCATTGATATTCTTTTTCATTTTATATTTTTAATATGCCTAGCAAACTGCTAACTTGAAAATTTTAAAATATTCAATCAATTTACCGAGTTTGAGGATGGATGAGCTGGCGACAGGTTTAAAAATTTTAAGGGTTGGTTTTGAAAGTGTGTTGGCTTTCTGATTTTTTGGGTATTTTAGCCTGGGTTAAAAAGCTTAGTTTGGGAATGACTTTTTAACTTTTTGACTTTTTTGACTTTTTTTGTGAAAGAAGAATGTAATGATTATAGGTTGGATGTGATGTTTTGTCTTTTGTGGCTAAAATAGCAAAAAAAGCCCCATATTCTTCTTCCCAAACGGTGCCTATAGTTGCCAGAGTTGGTTCAGTTTATATTTTCTTTCAAAATCGACCCAAACCAACTAGCGCACATCCCTACTATTAATGCATGAGAGACATACAATAGTATTCAAAATTGGTAATCAATTATTATTATTATTATTTTCATAATGGATCCAATCGGCTTGATGCTGATATGGAGGGATACGATTGGATGCGGTCATTGCTATGTCAAGATAAAGTTGTTGAGGTATGACTTGGTCATTGACAGTTTTTATCGTTAAGAATGTAAATTTAGGCAGCATCACCAAATTACTGGACAGATATGACCATATCTCCCAAATTAGAACTCATCCCAAATCTAGCAATTGTTTCTGTAACTTCATGACAGCCAATTCATTGGTTAAATAACCAAAATTCAATTCAGAGAGATTTTTGCAGAGCCTCTTAAATTGCCTCCTTAATTTTATAATCCAACTCTCTCCATTTCCGTATTGCAAACCCACCAAAATTCTTCATCTTCTTCTTCATCATCACCGTCATTGTCACCCGTCGAGACGGCCACAACTTGCAGCCTTGGGGCTGTGGCGTCGCATTGAAAAATGCAGCCCTTATTCTGCCTCCTCGCACTCAGTTTCTGTCTTATTCTTCTCTCATTCTCCTCTGCTTTATCAGACGCCCAAGCTTCTCACATTGCTCGTCATCAGCTCTTGAGCCTTCGTGAGAATGACGATTTGTCTGATGAATACCAATATGAGGTTAAACTAAATTTTACTTTCTCCAATCCTAGGCTCAGAAGAGCCTATATCGCGCTTAGAGCCTGGAAGAATGCAGTGTATTCAGACCCATTAAATTACACAAGCAATTGGGATGGTGCTGATGTTTGCAAATATAATGGTGTCTTTTGTGCATCAGCTCTAGACGACCCAAAGCTCGACGTTGTTGCTGGTATTGATCTTAACCACGGCGACATTGCGGGGTATCTTCCGGTTGAATTGGGTTTGTTGATAGATTTAGCTATTTTCCATGTTAATTCAAACCGGTTCTGCGGTATTATCCCAAAGAGTCTTTCCAGGTTGACTCTCATGACCGAGTTTGATGTTAGCAACAACCGGCTTGTTGGCCCATTTCCTACAGTGGTTCTATCTATGCCTCATCTCAAGTACCTTGATCTTAGGTTCAACAACTTTGAAGGAGAGTTGCCTCATGAACTCTTCAACAAGGACCTAGATGCATTGTTCTTGAATGACAACAGATTCACATCATATATCCCTGAAAACCTCGGCAACTCTCCAGTCTCAGTCGTTGTGTTTGCCAATAACAAGTTCAGGGGATGTATCCCAAGCAGCATTGGTAAGATGACAAACACTTTGAATGAAATTAGTTTCCTCAACAATAAGCTTTCGGGTTGTTTACCATCGGAGATGGGATTGCTTGGAGAGGTAACTATGATTGATTTGGAATCAAATTCATTCACTGGTATCTTGCCCAAGACCTTCAATGGACTAAAAAATGTTGAACACTTTGATGTAGCCTACAACAAGCTCACCGGTTTTGTGCCAGAGAGTGTTTGTCGGCTGCCTAGCTTGAAGAATTTCACATTCTCGTATAACTATTTCAACGGTGAGGCTCAAGCATGTGAGCCTCCATTGAGGAAAGATGTGGTGTTGGATGACACAAGTAACTGCTTGCATGATCGCCCCAAACAGAAGTCGCAAAAGATTTGTAATCCGGTGGTGAGCAAGCCTGTTGATTGCAGTAAGTCTAAGTGTGGGGCAGCACCAGCTGATGAACGTCGGATAGTCTCCACACCTTCGACACAAAAACAACCACAACCAACAACACTAGCTCCACATAAGTCACCATCAACGCCAAAGCCAAAATCTTCTCCTGAGCAAAAGCTTACGCCAAAACAATCTCCTGCCCCGGTTCCAGCTCCTCCAGTACTTTCAACACCACCACCACCAAACCCTTCTAGACCTCACCGTGAGAGTCCTGTTCACCGGTCAAAGTCCCCTCCTCCCCGTGTAAAGTCATCGCCACCACCTGTGAAGTCACCTTTCCCACCAAATCACTCTAGACCTCACCATGAGAGTCCTATTCAATCCCTGCCACATCATGTCCACTCTCCTGTTCAATATCCACCGCCCACAGTCTCCTCTCCTTCCCACGTAAAGTCATCTCCACAGCCTATGAAATCACATCCCCAACCTCCACTTGTACAATCACCTCCATCACTACCACATGTTCAATCCCCACCACCTCCAGTTCACTCTCCGCCTCCTCCAATCCACTCTTCTCCTCCACCTCCAGTATACTCTCCCCCACCACCAGTCCACTCCCCTTCTCCACCTCCAATCCACTCTCCTCCTCCACCAATATACTTTCCACCACCACCAGTCCACTCCCCTCCACCACCAATTCAACCCCCTCCTCCTCCAGTCCAATCACCTCTATTACCAGTTCACTCTCCACATCCACTAGTCCACTCTGCTCCTCCTCCTGTCCAGTCACTACCACCACCAGTTTTCAAACCTCCACCTTCATTTCACACCGAACATACACCAATCCAATCCCCTGCACCTCCATTTCACTCAACAGCACCACCGGTTTTCTCACCTCCACCTCCAGTTCTCAACAAGCATCCACCAGTCCAATCACCTAAACCTCCACTGCACTCACTACTACCACCGGTTTTCTCACCTCCACCTCCAATGCACTCACCACCGCCACCAGTTTTCTTACCTCCACCTCCAATTCACTCACCACCCCCACCAATTTTCTCATCGCCACCTCCAATTCACTCACCACCACCACCGGTTTTCTCACCGCCACCTCCAGCTCACTCACCACCACTACTTGTTTTCTCACCTCCACCTTCAGTTCACTCACCACCACCAATAGTATTCTCTCCTCCGCCACCATCTTCATCTGTTTCACCTCCTCCTCCAATACCAGATGAAGACATTGATCTTCCACCAATTATAGGTGCTGAATACTCATCGCCACCTCCACCAATCTTCCAAGGTTATTAAATGGTGCATCTCTAACAACATCACGCAGTCTCTTCATTAGAATTACAATCTTATAGAAATACACCCCTCGCTTTTTTAGTTGATACATAGTTCATGATCATGATTACGATTAATATGTAATCTGCTCTGCGCCCCTTTTAGATATAAGCATTTAGTTCACCATCAAGCATTAGAGAGCACGAGCAGCAATGTTAAACCTGATGTGATTTGATAGGGAAACTGTTTTTGTATGTGGAGAGGCGTTTAGAACATTTTAGGCATTTTGTCTAGGCTCATCACAGAGTGAAACTCCAACAGATTGGTCAACACAGTAGGCATTTTGCCTCATCTTCTCTTGGCTAGATACAATTGGAGAGTTTCGAAACACACAAATCAATTTCAATAATAGAGTGTTGTTGGAGAGTACCATTAGACAAAGTGGTTAGTCAAAACACATAAATGTACCTTTTTGTTAGGCAAAATGCCTATTAGTATTGAAGTTGCTCACTGTTCCTTTGATTTCTCTAGTTCATTTGTATTTGATGAGCGAATAGAGTAAATTAACACTGCTACGATCTTCAAAAGATTTTTGCTACTCTCTGAGTCCCAAAATGTTAGTACCTTTTCAAAAATTAAGGATTAAAATAATATGAATTCCTATTTTATCATTCTTTTATATTCATTAGCAATACAAAAAGTACAATTATGACAATTGATATTCTCAAAAAAATGTACTATCAAAGAATAATTTTGAAAAACTAATATTTTTAAAATATAATAATTGTACTATTAAAAAAAATTAGATCCCTCAAAAGGAACTACTATTATTTTGGGATGGAAGTACCTGTCTTTGCTACAAGTCCCCAATTCCATGCAAAATTTGAACTATACATTTGACGTGTTGTTGATAATGCAATCTTACAGAAATAATACTCTCGGCATGTTTGATTGGAAGGATTAGAGTATGGGATTGAGATTATTAATCCGCGGGCCCAATTATCCTATGTTTGTTTTGACATTTTGTTTTAGAATTATCAATCCAATGGATAATTAATCCAACAAATTTGTAAGATTATTAGTAATGGGGTAGAGGTGGGATTGTGAATACCACATTAATTTGATTGGATTATTAATACCTCACTATTAGTCTTGTGGAATCAAACATGACCTCTGTGTACTCAGGGAAAAAAAATCTAAAAACTGAAGATGGGATTGCATCTCTGGAATAATGTGGGTTAGAGTTTACAGTTTGTCCAGTACATATTAACCAGGCAAACGACCACCAGTGCATTTTCAGCTAAACATTATCCGGAGTGTCCAAAACGGGACCCGTGGTGGGCCCCCACGGGCCCAACACCCCGGACTGGACAGAAGCCATATCCTATTTTTTTATTGATACCGGAGTGTCCAAATCAAAGCCCGTCTAATCCCAAAGGATGCGCAGACCCTTGGCAAGGAGTTTCTCGCCAGTGCATCACGGTTAATTCAACAATTATCCCTTAGTCCAATAGTCTTAAATAATTGTTAGCACCTAAGAGCTTTCGATCTTTGAATCTTGAAAGGAACACACGCCCAAGACTCAAGGCCTTACCACTAGACCAACCCATTGAGGTTGCCAAGTGTAATTTTTAATTTTCTAAAAGCAAAATTTAACAATAGGGTTAATTACAATTAATAACCCATTACTTCCAATAAAATTCTCACTTTAGTCTCATTATTTTCAATCGTGGCAATCAATCTCTTATACATTAAATCAATATCACTATTTTGTCCATTTATCGTTAAAGTGAAGGGACAAAAGTACGATTTTGGTAAAAGCATAAGAACTAAAATGAAATTTTGATAATAATGGAATGATACGAATGAGATGGAAAAATATCATGTATGACTCACATAATAACTTTTTAACGTCAAATAAATTAGAGCCTGATATTGTAATTTAACTTGAAGTATAAACAGTTAATTGTCACAAATTTTGGTAGAAGCGCGTGGGTGCAAACTGTAATTAACACTTGACGAAATTATTTGCTGCAAAGTACTATTAATTTAATGTTAAATATATAAAAATTAAAATTAGCTAAAGCCATAGAAAGTGAAATTAAAATGTAAAAATGCAAATGACAAATATGTGTGAAAAGTGTATATAAGCATATAAAAGTATATAAAAATAAGTGAAATATTTATTAAAATTTTTACTCTTTTAACATTACTTGATTTTTAATGAAAGTCCAGTGTGTAGTAATTAATAAGACTCATTGTGACGGTCCCAAAATAATAAAACCCGATTCATTTGAATTAACCTATAATCTTAGTTCAATTCCGAACATCAATATAATTAACATGCGGAAGTGACAATTATCCTTGACAATTCATTGATCAATGCCATTCTCAATTTCTATATTTCATTCATGATTTTCAAATTGAGGTTTTCAAAAGGAACCACATGCAATAATACATTCATAGTCCCTAAGGCTTGAATTTGTAGCATGTGATATCAATACATAAAGTTAAATAAATACAAACTTATGCCATAGAGGCTACAATTTCCAAAGTCTTACCCGGTTACATCAAAAGTGGGTCTTAAACCCAACACAAGTTAGCCATTGGCTATACATAGTCAACAAAATGAGCTTCATGCTCTGAAATCCTCCCAAGTCATCATATTGGCAGAGGCACGCCGTCAATACTTGAAATTGGCCACAATGGGATGAGCATTGATGCCCAATAGAAATAATCTTAATTAAATGCATGAATTTTAACAATATCATGAGGTGAATGCAATGAGATGTCATGCCTAAAATATAAGTTTTTATTTACAACCTCTTAACATGCATTTGTTCAAAACCATATGTCAATCATTCTTTCATTAAGTAAAATAAGGGGCAGTAAATACAACTCTAGCAATCCCTATGTATGTGTCTACAAGTACTCTCATAGAACACTACCAAAACCACTTTATCGACTTTTAACCGGAAGAAAATTAGTACCTGCTTCGTGCGTGGTTTAGGACTTTCACAATGGACTTAAAGCCAACTTACTTCTCATCAACCACACTACTTAACCAGATTCATTAAGGTATTTACCCCATTTTATCAAATACAATTCAATTGTTCTCAACAATTTTCAAAAGTTCACAATATACCAAAAATCTCGACAGATTCTCAAAATGCGATAGAAGTTGAAGTTATGGAATCATGCGATGCTTAATGATATGAATGTCTTTGTAAATGTTTCAATTTACCTAGTTTACATGCAATTTATGCAAAACTCCACCAGTTATCAAAATAATTATCTTTATCTCAATATTCCACTATAGGCAATATATAGAGAGGATAATTCAACATTTCTCAATAATTTCCAAAATGGACAACATTATCTCAAAATTTCTCATATTCTCATCATATCATGAACATAACCAATACTCAATAATTTCCAAGAATTTCAAGAGTTTTTCCAACACACAATCAATCTTTTCCTATCACACATTTCTAGGGTTTATGGAAAAATTGGGGACTTCTTTTTTTAAAAGCAATTTTCTCGTATTCAAGTATATCACACTATAACAATAGACAAACCAATTGAGAAACCTTGGAATCATTTGAGAATTTTTCCATTTTATGCATTAAATATCAAATTAAATAAACCTTAACTCTCTAAATATCTCCAACTACCAAATCAACACGTAATAAAGTTAAATGATGTACACAACATTAAGAAAATCCCTACCTCAAGAGTTGGGAGAGAAAAATCAAAGAGCCCCAAAATTTTGGACACCTTGGAAGTTCAATTCAATCAATGAGAATATAGTTGTCATCGAGCTCGTTGTTTTGGCCTTGAATTAGTACCAAATTTTTGATAAATTTAGTAAGATGATGAGATTTGTGCGAAGTAGGTTTGTTTTAGAGAGAAGGAAGAGAGGTTAGATATATATATATATATATTAGAGAAAAGTGGTGGAGAAAGGGAGAATCAGATTTTTGAGTGAGTGGCTGTAGACACCCCATTTTTGGTCGTCCTTAAGACTTGGACGTCATCGTTTGAACACTCAATGATCATCCATGCTCGTGTTCGTTTTGAGTTCCCGAAGGTCTCGACTGCGCGCCTCGCCTTAAGATCTCTTAACTCCTTTGTTTTGTGCTTGGTTGTGGACCAAGGACTTGTGTTTTTACTTCTGAGGAAAGTGGGGGTGGCTTGTTGGCCATCCCCACACCCCATCGACTATGGCATGATGCCATCGGCCTTGTTTTCTTGCCATCGGCCATAAATGTTGGCCGGTCGGCACTTTTGTTGGTCGGTCGGCACTTATTTTGGTCGATCGGCCATATTTTCTGGCTGAGGCCTTTTCTTTGCCTTTTTCAGGCATTGTGCATGCCAGCTGTGCCAGGATTTGAACCAAAACTTAGCTTCTCTAAGAAGCTTTGAATTTGATTTTCTATAAGAGGGGAGCCTCCCCTCCCCTTCCAGAGGTTCATCAAATTGATATAGAAGATATATATCTCTCTCTCTCTATATCTCCCTCTGTCTATATATTTGTGTGTGTTTGTGACCTAAAGTGTGTTTTTGTTCATACTTTTGCACTAGAGCACCTAGTAGAATACCTTCCTTTGGTTACTGAGGCACTAGGAAGTTGGTTTCAGAGTTCTTGGGCTGGTTTTGATCCAAGGGAGTGGCAGAGTTGTGTTCTTTAAGGGTGAGCAACTAACCTTTTGTTTTCCCATTTTAGCTTAAGCTTTTAGACCTATTTGCATATTGTTTCAAGCTTAACTATAAACTGAAAAAATTTCTATTTTTATATGCTTAAGATGATTGTGTTAAGGTCTCGTTTGGGTTGGGGGTTATCTACCCCCTCTTAGGCCTTGTTTGGCATTATTTTGGGTCATCCTTTTTGACCTTTAATCTTTCTTTGGCTTGACCTTTCTACCACTGAAATCCAGAGGATTTTCAGTGGTGGAAAGGTAGTTTTAGAGTCTTGTATAGGAGAGGGACACCCCTCTCTCCTTATGTCTCATATGTTTGTGTTATTGGCTCGTAATGGTAGCATGTTTGCTTAGCATGTTTTGGCTTCAATTTAGCAAGTATTTGGTGTCATTTGGTCATGATATACCTCTGTTCTAGGTTGGTTTAATGCCTTCTTGCATGCACCATATACTTGCCTTGTAATCCCCTC